CAGCCCATTTACAATTCTACTGTGCATGAACGAGAAATGTCCCCCCTTTTGTGAATGGCCTAAAGACACTTCAGTCAGTGGTAAAGCCCCGGGGGTAAAAGACACAGTGTGCTACAGCGACACACAAGCCTTCACAGACACAACACAGCACAACACACAGTGTGCTACAGCGACACACAAGCCTTCACAGACACAACACAACACACACAGTGTGCTACAGCGACACACAAGCCTTCACAGACACAAGTGTGTCACAGCGACACACACGCCTTCACAGACACAACACAACACACAGTGTGCTACAGCGACACACACACCTTCACAGACACAACACAACACACACAGTGTGTCACAGCTACACACATGCCTTCACAGACACAACACAACACAACACACACAGTGTGCTACAGCGACACACAAGCCTTCAGACACAACACACACAGTGTGTCACAGCGACACACAAGCCTTCAGACACGACACAACACAACACAACACAGTGTGTCACAGCGACACACAAGCCTTCAGACACAACACAACACAACACAGTGTGCTACAGCTACATACAAGCCTTCAGACACAACACAACACACACAGTGTGTCACAGCTACACACACTCCGAGGAAGACACAACACAACACACACACAGTGTGTCACAGCGACACACACACCTTCACAGACACAACACAACACAACACAGTGTGTCACAGCGACACACAAGCCTTCAGACACAACACAACACAACACAGTGTGTCACAGCGACACACAAGCCTTCAGACACAACACAACACAACACAGTGTGCTACAGCTACACACAAGCCTTCAGACACAACACAACACACACAGTGTGTCACAGCTACACACACTCCGAGGAAGACACAACACAACACACACACAGTGTGTCACAGCGACACACACACCTTCACAGACACAACACAACACAACACAGTGTGTCACAGCGACACACAAGCCTTCAGACACAACACAACACAACACACACAGTGTGTCACAGCGACACACAAGCCTTCACAGACACAACACAACACACACAGTGTGTCACAGCGACACACAAGCCTTCACAGACACAACACAGTGTGTCACAGCGACACACAAGCCTTCAGACACAACACAACACACACAGTGTGTCACAGCGACACACAAGCCTTCAGACACAACACAACACAACACACACAGTGTGTCACAGCGACACACAAGCCTTCACAGATTGAAAAACATTATAATGGGGACAACAACAGAAACAAACATCATGCATTTGCTTTAGTTTTAGTAAAAGTTTTACGGCATTTGAAACACAATAAGGTCACAGTTTAGTTTCGTTTTAGTAAGATATCTATGGCCCTTGCAACACCATAAGGTCACAGTTTAGTTTCGTTTTAGTAAGAGTTTTACTGCCCTTGCAGCACAATAAGGTCACATTTTAGTTTTGTTTTAGTAAGAGTTTTACGGCACTTGCAACACAATAAGGTCATATAAGTGCCAAAGAATAGATGTGTTACAAGAGAATAACAAGCACAAAAAAGGAGAGATCAGGATGATAGATGTTTGATAGGAAAGAAGGAGCAAACCACACCAGGGTCTAAGAAAATCCATACAGCAAGGGCTATATTGTCGCTTTTAAGGACAAGCGGGCTAACCCAGATTTCGGGGGTTTCCAGAAACCTTGACCTACACCAAAAGTGGGCATTGCCCTACCTATAGGAGAAGTTTGGTTTCATTGGTGTGTATATTTGTTTGGTTATAGAAAAAACTCTCCTTGTCTTTTAAAGAAACTGAACGTGGGGCCAAAACTTTACCTTCGATTTTCTCAAAACAGCATTTTTCGGGATACCCCCTTGTGCTTAAAAGTAACCATATAAAATACCTGGACTAGGACAAACCACACACAGCATGGACTATACTGTAACACACCTGGTCTAAGACAAAACACACACAGCATGGGCTAAACTATAACATACCTGGTCTATAACATACCTGGACTAGGACAAAACCCATTCAGCATGAGCTATACTGTAACATACCTGGTCTATAACATACCTGGTCTATAACATACCTGGACTAGGACAAAACCAATTCAGCATGAGCTATACTGTAACATACCTGGTCTATAACATACCTGGTCTATAACATACCTGGTCTATAACATACCTGGACTATAACGTACCTGGACTAGAACACACCTGGTCTATAACATACCTGGTCTATAACATACCTGGACTATAACATACCTGGACTATAACATACCTGGACTATAACATACCTGGTCTATAACATACCTGGACTAGAACAAAACACACACAGCATGGGCTATACTGTAACATATCTGGTCTATAACATACCTGGACTAGAACAAAACACACACAGCATGGGCTATACTGTAACATACCTGGTCTATAACATACCTGGTCTATAACATACCTGGTCTATAACATACCTGGACTATAACATACCTGGACTATAACATACCTGGTCTATAACATACCTGGACTAGAACAAAACACACACAGCATGGACTATACTGTAACATACCTGGTCTATAACATACCTGGTCTATAACATACCTGGACTAGAACAAAACACACACAGCATGGGCTATACTGTAACATACCTGGACTATAACATACCTGGTCTATAACATACCTGGTCTATAACGTACCTGGTCTATAACGTACCTGATCTATAACATACCTGGACTAGGACAAAACCCATTCAGCATGAGCTATACTGTAACATACCTGGTCTATAACATACCTGGACTAGGACAAAACACACACAGCATGAGCTATACTGTAACATACCTGGTCTATAACATACCTGGACTAGGACAAAACACACACAGCATGGGCTATACTGTAACATACCTGGTCTATAACATACCTGGACTAAGACAAAACACACACAGCATGGGCTATACTGTAACATACCTGGTCTATAACATACCTGGACTAGGACAAAACACACACAGCATGGGCTATACTGTAACATACCTGGTCTATAACGTACCTGGTCTATAACGTACCTGGTCTATAACATACCTGGTCTATAACATACCTGGACTAGGACAAAACACACACAGCATGGGCTATACTATAACATACCTGGTCTATAACATACCTGGTCTATAACATACCTGGTCTTTAACATACCTGGTCTATAACATACCTGGTCTATAACATACCTGGTCTATAATGTACCTAGTCTATAACATACCTGGACTAGAACAAAACACACACAGCATGGGCTATACTGTAACATACCTGGTCTATAACATACCTGGACTATAACATACCTGGTCTATAACACACCTGGTCTATAACATACATGGACTAGAACATACCTGGTCTATAACATACCTGGACTAGAACAAAACACACACAGCATGGGCTATACTGTAACGTACCTGGACTAGGACAAACCACATTCAGCAAGGACTATAACCTACCAATATATATATATATATATATATATATATATATTTATATATTTATATATATATACACACACATATATGTGTGTCCTTTCGTGTATAGTTAATGTACGGGAATGAAAGTTCTTCTTTATGTGGTGGAACTGGTTTTTCTTGTTTCTGTGAAATATTTTCTCTGGTATGAATGATTATGTGATTGGTGGAAAGCGCTCAGAGCTTATACTAGTATGGGATAGAGCGCTATATAAATGCAATCTATTATTTTTTTTATTTTTTTTATCATTATCATTATTATTATTATTTTTATTATTATCATTATTATTATTATTATTATTATCATTATTATTATTATCATTATTATTATTATTATTATTATCATTATTATTATTATCATTATTATTATTATTATTATCATTACCTGGACTGGGGTCGATGCTGGAGAGGAACTCTAGCTGTGGTTGTAGTTGTTGCAGGCCCGACACGTCGCTGTTCCGCTGCAGCGTCAACATCAGCTCCGTGATGCTCTGGGCAAATGACTGGGGGCTCTGGTGCTGAACACAACAACAACAACAACAACAATTTATATCACAATAATCACCGAAACTTAACGCACATGATGGGATAATTTTCTTTAAATATCAAAGGATTAAAACAGTCAGGAACACCACAATTTAAGAGGAGCACAGAAGGCTGCCTGTTGGCACGATCATCACTCACTCACTCACTCACTCCCTCACTCACTCACTCCCTCACTCACTCACTCCCTCACTCACTCACTCACTCACTCACGCAGGTCCGGCGGTGGTATCTCTTTGGGGAGGATTCATATAAAACGGGTACACAAATTAACGAAACAGAGACTAGACAGACAACATTAAGTAACAAATACAAAAAGACAGAAGATGAACTGTCTTTTTTTTCTTTTTTTTTTTAAAGTTTTAGTAAGTGTTTTACAGCACTTGCAACACAATAAGGTTATATAAGTGCCGAAGATTAGATGTGTTACAAGAGAGTAACAAACAAAAAAAAGAGGGAGGAGACATCAGAACGATAGATGTTTGATAGGATAGAAGAAGCAAACCAGACCAGAGCACCCGCCAACCACCCACTGACTTTGTCTATTATGTTAATGTAAATAGAAACTACACAGACTCTATATAACAATACAACAAGACAAGATAACAAACTACAAAGACTCTATATAACAAATACAACAAGACAAGATAACAAACTACACAGACTCTATATAACAAATACAACAAGACAAGATAACAAACTACACAGACTCTATATAACAAATACAACAAGAGAGACGATAACAGAAACTACACAGTGAAAAATTAAATTTTCATCCAAAGAACTATGGTTTTTAAATTTTAAAAATCCATTGATAAATAAAAAAGTTATTGTGATTTTTGCTTGCAAAATTTTGGAGGACCTTCATATAGGAAAAAATCGCCAAAATGTGAGACATGTTTTGATGTATTTTGAGGAAAAACTGTTCATAAGTCAGTAATGAATTGGAGCATATGAATGAAACTTGGCATCTCCATGTGATTTTTAGTGCCGAATCTAGTTCTGCTATCACTTTTTCAATGTCTTCATCACTTTGGATCTTAAAGACTGATATTTGCGTGAAATTTGTCGAATTGTGTGACAACGTTTTTACCGCGACGCGATCACCCCTTCTAAAACTCAGTAAAGCGCTATCGGGAAAACCCGCGATGTAGTCATCGGTGACCCATTTGGTTATAGGCAGCCAATCACATGCCGCCTAGCGATCACGCGCCTCTTGCATGCCGGCACCTCGCGTTTGGAATGCGCGATCAAGTTTCTAGATCTAGTGTTTTATCAATGGATGGGTGGTAATTTTAAGTTGGTACGTAAAATCTACTAAACGCAGAGATCTGAAATTTTACAGCAATAAAGAAGACATGTGGGGCGCTTGTGTGGTTGGCGATCAACCCGCAGCTCCACTTAGTTTTCGAACCGCAGAGGAAATTCGCACAAACACGGCAATATCTCCGGTTCTAATTATCGTTCGGGATTGTACGCTGGCATGTCGTTAGTTTAACCTTTCCTCTGGTTGGTTGCTGAGTTTCATTTATTTTCGTCCAGGAGTTTTCCCGTAACTAAACTTAGAAGAGAGTCACTTCTGATTCCGAGCGGCCCAAAAAATACCCCTCGCGCGGAGGCAGATTTCCGGCACAAGGCGCAGCGGGCGATTGGCATTGCTAAACAAATACAACAAGACAAGATAACAAAAACTACACAGACTCTATATAACAATTCAACAAGACAAGATAACAAACTACACAGACTCTATATAACAATTCAACAAGACAAGATAACAAACTACACAGACTCTATATAACAATACAACAAGACAAGATAACAAACTGCAGACTCTATATAACAATACAACAAGACAAGATAACAAACTACACAGACTCTATATAACAAATACAACAAGACAAGATAACACTCCACAGACTCTATATAACAATACAACAAGACAAGATGACAAAAACTACACAGACTCTATATAACAAATACAACAAGACAAGATAACAAACTACACAGACTCTATATAACAATACAACAAGACAAGATAACAAACTCCACAGACTCTATATAACAATACAACAAGACAAGATGACAAAAACTACACAGACTCTATATAACAAATACAACAAGACAAGATAACAAACTGCAGACTCTATATAACAAGTACAGATAGAGAGACGGAGCACTGACTTTGTCAATGATGGACTGCATGTGCGACTTGTGGGCGGGGTCTCCGTACAGCAGCGACGACCACTGCTCAGGGGAGATGCGCAGCCCGGCCTCGATGGCGATCTGTACGATCTGGGAGTCGTGCTCGCGGCGCAGAGCCTCGTACTGGCAAAACTCTTCCTTGAGCTGCATCAGGGAGGACTCGTCTTCTCGCTTCATCACCTGCCGAGAACGGTACCAAAAAAAAAAAAGGTTTAGTTCTAGTAAGAATTATACAGCACTTGCAACACAAATTAGTCCTATTAGTTTTAGTAGAAGGTTTTACAGCGCTCACAACTACATAAGGTCATATGAGTGCCAAGGGGTGGATGTCAACAGAGAAGCCTTTACAGGGAATCAGACTTACACTGCTCACCTCTCTAGCTTCAATAGCATAAAGTCTGCTTCGACTATCAAGGGGCTTGATGGCACATTCAACCTCATACCCCTGTATTAGTAGAAACAAATCTGTTTTATTTCTCCTTCAGTGAATAAAAGAACAAGAGATCATGAAATTGTAGAGATTTTAGTAAGTTACTGTGGCAACTTTTCCCATTTAGGAACAAACCAGTTTCATTTAAAAATGTAACTCAATATACAAAAGTTTTAAAAATATGCAGAACATTGAGGTAGCCAACCCAGTCTTTACTTTACTTTACTTTACTTTTTTCTTCCGCTTGTACCCTGGGGTGTCGCGGGGAGACACAGGTGTCTGTCTGCAGCAAGTC